GGGAGGAGGCGTCCATGGTTTTGGGGTGTGCCCCCAGCTTTTCTGTTCCGTTTTTTTTTTTTGAGGGTAGTTTTCTGTTCCGTTTTGGTGGGCGTAGGGTCGTCGGGTCCCGTCCAACCCCGTGCCGGGGCAGCCAGGCTGCTGACCCGTGCCGTGCGGCGTGCGGCGCGTGGGGCCGGGGTGTCAGTGGGCGGGCGGCGGGGGATAACGTTCGGTCGAGGTGGATGGATAGTGGGGGCCGTTGACGGGTGGGGCAGTTGCGTCGTGGTTTCTGGCATGTGGACGCGGTGTTGAGTGGAATGTGGCGTGGATTGGATTGGTTGCTACTGCCGTGGACTGTTGCACAGTCAACAGTGGCTCCGTGCCATTCCAACCCGGCCGGAACGTTCCTCCGATCGTGCGTGGTGCCTTTCCACGCGGCTCCGGTCGCTGCTGCCTGGTGTGAACTCCTCCGGAGGCTCCAGCGCGCGGCACAAACAGTCGGTACTATTGCATGTCCTCAAGTATCCCACATAAGTGTGTATTTCCTCAATATTTCATATATTTAGACCAATATCTAATGGTATTTCTATAGTTATTAGGACTTCCATTGCAAATTTGCTTTTCTTTTCCCAGCCAAAAGTTACCCAACACAGATGACGAGTTGGCCTGTTTAGGCATTTTTAGAAATTGTTTATTCAACAGCTCAGTACCCATACATGGGAGTACTTGACCTGTGAAATTCATGCGTAGTCAAGTGACCACACAAACCAAAACGTGGCTTCGCCACTGGACCTCACCCGCACCTGCGCAGACCAAAAAAATCAAAACAAATACTAGAAAAATTCAAAAAAATCATTTTTTGTGCGGCAGAAAATTTGATGCGAGAGGTCTGCTTTAATTTGCAAACCATTTGGGCATCTGAGCAGTTCTCGGCAAAAAAGACAAATTAGGGGTCTGCAAAAAAGTTTACTGTCCATGTACAATGTTTTGGCCCGATTTGTCTTTTTTGCTGAGAGTTGTTCAGATGTCCAAATTATTTGAATTTTGAAGCGGGCCACACTAATCAAATTTTCTACCTCACAATTTTTTTTGGAATTTTTTGATTCTTTTTTAAAATTCTAATCAGGTGCAGATGAGCCTGGACACCGGAACGACACATCCTGATTTACTCTTTTTTTTTGTTTCCATACACGTGTGGACAAATGTTTGCATCCTGTTGGAATGTTCAGAGTCCACAGAAGCATAAACGGAGAAAAAAGACAAAAAGGAACAGTTTACTGGGAGGATGGTTATCCTTTTGATTTGCCAAATTTGACAATTGGGGATGATGGTGCGCACCAAAAAAGATGCTCCGCCCCTCTTTGCCTAATTTTTCTTTTTTGCGAGAATTTTTTTTGATGTACTCATCAACTGTTAAGAAAGTACAAAGAATATCATATAAGTAAAAAATACATCTTGGTCCATAGACTACCTAACGCCGACTACGGGCACTGAAGCGAGCCGAAAGCACGCCTGCCGTCTTCGCACCTCCATCATTGGAATCAAGCAACCCTTGTTGTAGTAGACAGTCTAGATGTCATCGTGCTAAGTCCCCGTAAGACCAATGCATCAGAATAGCAACCGCCGCCAATGAGGTGAAGCGTAGATCGGAAGGATCCAACCTGTACACACATCAACATAGACAAACGAAGATAGGATCCACATGGATCAACCGAAGACAAACGCCGACCAAATCCCCCGAGATCCGCTGGACACAAACCTCAACATGCCCTCCGGCGATGCTAGAAACACCACCGGAGCGAGCACTAGGCGGGGAGAACCTTATTTCATCTTCAGAGAGTCGTCACCGCCTCGCCTCTTTGAGGAGGACACAAACCCTAACAAAACTATGAAAAAAGTACAAAAAAAAACAGAGTCCTCCTGCCAACAATGGTTCGGATTCACCGCGCCTCCATGGCCCTAAGACCATAGAAAATGGGGTATAGACCTTGGAAGGCACGAGAAACCCTAGCCAAAGGGTTCTCTTTCTTCCAAGGGAAGAAAGGAAACGATGTAGACAACAAAGGTCTCTATCAGCATCTACAACCCTATCTATCTTCACAGGCGAGTCACTTGTTCATTCTTCATATGGTCATCTTGCTTTGGAGATCAAAGCCATGAGAGAGTCTCAAAAGTTTATTCCTCAAAAGCTTCATTCTAGTCAGCGAGATATAGCCGCACGAAATGTGCCACCGTTGTGTGGCTACATGGAGGGCCCCTGTGTACTAATGGACTCTAGCCTCTTAAGTGTAACTCCAATATCATTGAATATAACTCTCTTTACCCCCGCAAAAAAAATAACAGAAAAATAAAACAATGGATAAAAAGTTGAAGGGACATTTACACTTATACCCAATGCTCACATTTACCTCAAAGGCTACATTTGGAATGTCGTTTTCTATCCATATCCCCCCGGGAAACATACCCTCTGAAGAAAAACCGGGTGGCCTTTGGTTAGACGCTTGGTTGGTCGTTTGTGGGGCGTAAACTTTACACTCTTTTGCACATTACACCTGGAATTGGCCGGATTCTAAAACACTGCCCAACCCACAATTTTGGTATGTCTCCTTTCTTGATGACCCGATTGACCTATGCGCATGCATGTGTTGGGAAACGTAGTAGAAAAAAATTCGCTCTACAATCACCCAGAAACATTATGAAGATGCGATGAACGGTTTGGATCAGATCTACCGCCTTCAAGTTGCAGCGGAAGAAAATGAGTCGGTGTAGATCGTAAATGGAGTCCTTCGAACCGTAGATGAACGATACCGCAGACCGCCCACGAACAGTCCCTGAAGGGAAGACCGAAAGCACGATCTTTGCGAGTTGCAAGCATACGGTCTTCATGATCCGGTAGCGCTTAGCCGTCCACAGCTAAACATCGCTAGAGAATTAGAGAGAGGAGATTAGAACCACACTAATGGGTTTCTAATTATGAGGATTAGAGGATCTAGGTCAAGTTCTGATTGATCGACTAGAAATAGAACTAAAAAACTAGAGGAGGCTCCAAAACTTATGTATCGAAAAGGTGCAAATGCCTCTAGTATATATAGGTTGGAGGAGAAGGAGGGGGCGCCACAAAGGAGGGAAAGTCTCCCTCCCTTGGCCGGCCAAGGGTAGAGGGACTCCCTCTCCAATTCGCCCTCCCTCCCCCCTTTCCATGGGGAGAAGGGGGTGCCATCATTATTGGGCCCTTGTGACTCAATTCTCCTTCAACCTCTTATTCTTTTAAGGCCCGTCGATATCAAATTAAATATAAAAGTCTCCTAACTATTATTAGAGCATTTTATTATTAAATATTAATTTAACATCCCCTAAAACATTTTTCATCTATATATTATTTATCGGTAATACCCGGTATTGCCCAATAAATTTGGAAACCCTTCCGATGACCCCGAAACGGTTCCTGTTTCTCTCGAAGCTATTTCAAATATTGACAAAATAATTTCACAAATATTCCCTCTAATTAATATGTGCTTATCAATCACAACACTCCCCCTAATCTATGATTGTCCATGTAGAATTGTCACATGATCACCACGTATCCTAATCCATTGTGTTTTCTTTAAAGTAAAAAATGACAACAATTTGGCTATGGCATTTAGCCAAACATTTGTCGGGCATGTTGTTCGACTGTTGTCCGACATGGACGACATCTGTAAGGAGGAACAATAGCCGGGTGCCGATGGTGGAACGGTGACCAATTCCAAGGGCAGGCACGTGGGGTGGAGTGACTCAAGTTTGACAATGCCTAGGCGAGTGACCGGGGTGGTATGGCGGCTATGCCATTATGGGAGAACAGATACAGAGCGGGAGGGCGGACAGAGTGAGAATACCCGCATTGAGTAGAGTTTTGCATGGGCCGGAGGTGTCAGAGTCCTATGTGGCGGAGGCCGCACGTCATACATTCGAAAAAGGTACGTATTTTAAATAAAAGTTCATGAATTTGACAAAAATATCCATGAACAAAAATATATCACCAATTTGCCAAAAATCTTCTCAAATTAAAAATGTGCACAATTTTTACAAATATCCATGAATATCCCATATGGTTCAAAAATTCAAATATTGTTTGTAATTTTGAAAAACAACGAATTTGTGAAACATTTCACGATTTTGAAAAAGCCCATGAAATTGAAAAAATATCATCTATTTGAAAAAAACGTGGAAGCAAAAAAACTGAAATTCATTTTTTGAAAAAATATTACGAAATGTAAAAATTTCATTCATTTGATTATTTTTCACTAAAAAGGAATAAAGAAAAACAAAATTGAAAAGCATTCCTGTATTTGAAACATACATTTTTTTATCTATTGGAAAAAGTTTGTGAATTTGCAAAAGAATACTAAGAATATGGAAAAATTTCACAAAATTAATAAAAATCATAAATTGGGAAAAAATATGTTAAAAAAGATCGCAAGAAACAAAAAAAGATAAAAAAATAAAAATAAATTTAACAAAAAGGACAAAAAATAACACGAAAAAGTAACATAAGGAACAAAAATATCAAAAGAGAAAAGTAGGACAAAAAATAGTTGGAAGCTTCTAGAAGCTTCACAAAACCGGCTGGAAGCTTCTATAAGTTTCATGATTCCAGATGGTGGATGTATATGTAAATCTAAAAAGT